GGGGGCCTCCTCAAGAAGGGTGCGTGCTACGGGGACGACGCGTGCTTCGTGGCCCGGCACCGTTCAGCGGACGTACTTGGTGAGTCCCTCGGCGCGGCTCTCCCCCCGCCCCAGCCCGGAATCCGCCTTCTGGGGACTCCCCTGTTCGGGACTTCCCTCTTTTCTCTGGGCAGCGAGCGGAGCCCGAGAGCCAGTAGTAGCTGGGCCTCCTCAAGAAGGGTGCGTGCTACGGGGACGACGCGTGCTTCGTGGCCCGGCACCGTTCAGCGGACGTACTTGGTGAGTCCCTCGGCGCGGCTCTCCCCCCGCCCCAGCCCGGAATCCGCCTTCTGGGGACTCCCCTGTTCGGGACTTCCCTCTTTTCTCTGGGCAGCGAGCGGAGCCCGAGAGCCAGTAGTAGCTCTCATGTCGGGAGCGCTTACGAGGTGCCAGGCGCCGTGCCAAGCGCTCCGAGGTGCGTTTTCCGCTTGACCAACCCCCATTTTAGAGGCGAGGAAACTGAGGCGCAGAGCGGTCAAGCCACGAACTCAAGGTCATGCAGCCTGAGAATGGGACCGGTTTGTTCGAGTTCAGAGCCGCACGCTTAGTCACTTGGCTGTGTCAGCCCTGGACGACCTCGTCCCCTCCCCCCGCAGACACCTGCAGGCTCCTAACCTCGCTCCTGTGCTCTCCCTCCGCCCTCCCTCCGCCCTCGCTCTGCGTGTCCCGGGGAACCTCTGCTGCTTCGAGTGATCCCGACGCCACGGCCCGGCCTGGGGCCGCTGGATCCCGAGCAGACAGACTGTAGTGAGCCCGGCAGCCCAGCCGCATTCTTTTGCCGCCTCGATTGCGACCAGATCTCCATCCTTTTTCCGAGTCTTCCCGAGTCTCGCAGTGGGGGCCCCCCGGCCTGGCGAAAAAACACTCACAGTGCCTTACCCCAAACTGTCCTTGCCCACTTGAGGTCACCGAGGGTGGAGGAAGAGTCTCCTTGCCCCAAAATAGAATGGTCAGACCTTCTACGGCAGCCAAGAAAGCCTTGAGAACTGGTTAAAGCCTTTGAGGCCACAGGTGCTTCCCAAGGCCTATTCCTGTTACGCCTTTGGAGGTGGAAGACTAGGGCGAGAGCTTGCAGAAAGGGCTAAATAGAGATCACCAACTTTACCATAATGTACGTCTTTAAAGAACCCTGTTTATGCCATGGAATCCTATGCCATGACATGTCTTTTAATAAACCACTTTGAAATTGAAGGACATGCTGTCATTGAACTTGGGTTCAAATGTCACTTTGGTTTCACTTCTCAGGTGAGATTGAGTTTTTGATTACCTTAAACTTCATATGCTGAGGCAGAGTTTGGCATTGGAACAAATGGTCCTGTAACTTTTTATGACAATAATTACTTTTTAATTTGATCTCAGAATAACTGCCTATTATCTTTGCTTCTACTACATGTACTGTTTGTGAACATGGAACTGGACAGGTTGCTCTCAATTTAATTTATAAATGGCCCCATTACCGGGGTTGAAAAAGTCATTTAATGTTTAAGCAACACTCTAGATGTTAACTTTTAAAAGAGGAAGACGGGCTCCTTAGAAGGTTGAGGAGCTTGCAGATTGAAATGCTACAAATCTGACGTCAATATGACCTTGATTCAGTGTCTTTATTAAAAGGCTGTCAGTGGTTGTCCTTTTCCATTACATGTAGAAGTGCTTTACTCAATGAGCTGGTGACCTGTGCTGCTTTTTGAAATTGCAGTCATAGTGCAACAGGATAGGGGATAATGAGCCACCAAAGTTCCCCCTTATAGATTTGCTATGTGCTGGCTTTTGTGAAAGATTTGTGAAATTTTGCTCAAACCCATTCTGAAAAAAGTATCAACATAGCATCTTGGCAGAAAGCTAGCCTGGTACTCAACTTTGCAACTTACTAGCCCTGTGATTCTGTGGTTTGGGGCAAAAGTCTCTCAGCTCATTTTCCTCATCTAGACTAAAGGATGAAGGGAGTGGACTCTCTGACCCTCAAGGAATTCTGACCATCAGATCGTATTTTGTTTTGCTTTGAAATGACGGCACCCTTTGTTATTTTGCACCTCAAATAGCAGATATTACTTCCTGTCTAATTCATATGGACACCTCCAGTAGATTTCTTCTGTGTTATATCTGGCTTTAAATCAGTGGTTCATAACTTCCGCTTGTGTATAGTCTCTGAGAATTTTTGAGTTGCCCAAGGGCTCATTCAGGGAATTTACTGACTTCATGAAGTCCATCCATGTACTATCTAGTGGTCCAAGCATGGGTTCCAGATTTTAAACCACAGCTTTATATCCCTCCTGAAAGGAATGTGGCCAGGCTTCTTCAACTATATTTGACAAAGAGCTATTTTAAAAGTGTGTGTGTGTTCTGTGCAAATTAGGGGGAGACAGGTTCTCTAGGGCTGTCCTGTTGTTTTGGAGCTCTTCTGGAAAGTCATCTTGGAAGCCACCTGAAACAACTTCTGTTGGCCTCGTTTATCTGATCTTTGACTTACACAAACCGGTACTTATGATGGTGCCTTCTATCATCACAGGTCTGATTATCTCTTGCTGTGAAAGAGGTGATGAATCTCAGCGAGTCTTCAATACTGCTTTTCACTCTGGAAGTTGGAGTTTTAAACTGAATTGTATCAAAAGGTTATGTTGAATGATCATGCTATGTTGAACCTCAGTGTTTTGAACTTTCTAGTTCTATAGATAATTCATTTTGTTTGGATTGACACTGTTTATTGCTAAGTATCTGTGGAACTCACTGGTCATCTAGGGCTACTTGACTGTGGAATGAAAACTGTTATTTTCTGTATAGAAAGGGAAAGCTGTTGTATTTCTTTAATTTAGAATTGATCTGTTCTATTAGTCATGCAGTGACTAAAGGTATTTGATGCTTTACGGCATTTTTTAGAGTCCCACTGGATTTCTTTTAGGAAAAACCAACTATAATGGGTGTGGTGAGACATAGGAACCACTCCTATTCAATGGAAAGTTGGCCAAGGTGCTTTCTCTTTATTAGGTCCAACAGGAGTAAACCAGAACCAGCAGGAGCTGTTTGCACTTTTCTTTTTCCTTCTTCCCTGTAGTTAGTAGTTCTCTTACTCTATATAGTATGGATGCCTAAGTCCACAAAAATATCAGAACTGCCTAGTGTGTAATTGCGGGAGTTGCCTAGTGTGTAATTACTGGGCCTCCTACAGCCCTAAGCTATTTAAGAATAGAATTAAAGCCTGATGAGAGTTTAAGACTTAGTAACTGTGGAGTCCAGTTCTTTCATTTTACTGATGAAAAAAACGGTGGCCTACAGAGGATCAAATGACTTTGCTGAGGTTACTCGGCTAGTTAATGGCAGAACTAGGGCTAGCAATCACCAAAACTCCCTGTCCCAGCCCTTTCCGTAACAACACTGGTTAAGTTTTCTTGACAAGATATATGAATTCAAAACCAGTCTGACTTCAGCTATTGTTTATCCTTCTAATGCTTTTTCTGCTTAAGGGTATGTGTGTGTGTTCACAACTTCTTTATTCACTTTATGACTCATAATTAAAATGCAACAAAAGCTCCTGCATACTAAACCACAGTTTACTGAAATCACTTCTTTTAAAGAATGGCAGCATGGTCTGTGCCATGTAAATTCTGACCTTGGAATATTGAGTTGTAAAGTAGTTCTTTTTAAAAAATACATTTTTATTGATTTCAGAGAGGAAGCGAGGGAGATAGAAACATCAATGAGTCATGGATCGGCTGCCTCTTGCACGCCCCCTACTGGGGATTGAGCCTGCATCCAGGCATGTGCCCTTGACCAGAATTGAACCTGGAACCCTTCAATCCGCAGGCCGATGTTTTATCCATTGAGCCAAACCAGCTAAGGCTGTAAAGTAATTCTTATAAAAGTGTGGGATGTTGATTTAAGCTTGATTTAACTTGAAACCTAAAAAAGAAAGAAAGACAGCAATTTCATATTTTAGCCTTTGGACTTGATTTGGATTGTGGCCAAGTGTTTTTGTGAGTAACACCAGTCTTTAACTATTTTTTTTTAATTGATTTTTTACAGAGAGGAAGGGAGAGGGATAGAGAGTTAGAAACATCAATGAGAGAGAAACATCGACCAGCTGCCTCCTGCACAGCCCCCACTGGGAATGTGCCGCAACCAAGGTACATGCCCTTGACTGGAATCGAACCCAGGACCCTTCAGTCTGCAGGCCGTCGCTCTATCCACTGAGCCAAACCGGTCAGGGCTCACTAGTCTTAAAAGTAGTTGTAGAAGCCCTAACAGGTTTGGCTCAATGGATAGAGTGTCGGCCTGAGGACTCAAGGGTCCCGGGTTCGATTCCGGTCAAGGGCATATACCTTGGTTGCGGGCACATCCCCAGTGGGGGGTGTACAGGAGGCAGCTGATCGATGTTTCTCTCTCATTGATGTTTCTAACTCTCTATTCCTCTCCCTTCCTCTCTATAAAAAATCAATAAAATATATTTTAAAAAAAAGTAGTTGTTGGAAGGTATAAGGATTACATGAACAATGTCAAGATCAAAATTTTATTTAGGAAGTGAATAGATGAGGTAGAATTTGATGTTTTCCAACAGTCCATGATAATTTTAATGTATTTGGTAGAACCTCCATATCTGAAAGTGAGTTGTCCTTTTAACAAAGTAGTCACCTTGGGAGAGTGTGTATGGCCACTAATTGTAGCCTTTTAAAAAGTCCTCTGTGGAATTTCCCTCAGCTAGATTTCAAACTGCATCAAGAAACCAGTCTTATTATTTTTATATTTATAATTTTTTGAAAATCACATTTTAGCCTGATATACCTGTTGCCTGTAGACAGAATCCTGATTGAATTTTTAAAAATCGAGATAATAATTCACCTGCCATATCACTCAACTTTCAAAGTAAAAAATTCAGTGGCATTTCTTATATTCACAGGGTTGTACGACACCACCATTAACTTGTTTCAAAACATATTCATCACTCCAAAAGAAACTCCCTACCAATTAGGAGTCACTCCCTCAATTCCTGACAACAGAAAGTAGATTCTGACTCTAGATTTGCCTATTTTGGAGACTTCATATATATGGAATTATATAATATTCGATCTTTGTGTCTGGCATTTTCACTCGGTATACTATTTTCAAGGTTCATCCACATTGTATTTATTAGTACTCCATTCCTTTTTATAGCTGAATAATATTCCATTGTATGGATATACCACATTTTATTCACTCATCTATTAATGGATATTGGGTAATTTTCACTTTTTGGCTGTTGTGAATAGTGC